ACACCCCGGCTGACACGGCCTGATTGTCTGCCACTCTGGCTGATTTTTTGAGCTGCAGGCCACTGATTTGGATTCCCGCTGAAGAACAGGTTAAGCCACTGTAAGCCTGAATAGCTATTAACTTGACAAAAACTCCCACTGCTAAATAGCAGGCAGCTATTCACCCGAGAAATCAAACTCCCACTGACACTGCAGAGGAAGGGAGCGACGCCTGAACAAGTATTTAAAAATATCCCCCTGAGCATTCAGACCCTGTCAACCCCAAGCATTCCTTCAAAACCAAAAGAGAAACACAAACCAGAGACCACATGTGGAAACTACGTGGAAGAACACTTAAAACCGAGAACAGGAGGCACATCTTTATGCAAAGAGTTGTGGAAGGGTGGAACATGCTATCCAGCCATATGTTTTCTCTCAAGAAGCAGCTGGTTGAAAACCTCTGATGAGCTGCCAACTACTAAACGAGCTAGAGGAGCTGCATGAGCTCCTCCCGTCTGAAACCTCTCTCGTGTTATCCAGAGAGAGGGAAGCAGGGCTCTTACCGGCAGCCCAGCGTAGTCTGCAGCAGGGTAGTGATGCCCACGCAGAAGAAGATGGTGCCAATCAGCTGGCTGGTGGCCCACTGGTCAAACCCCACACACATGGCGTCGGCCAGCAGGAAGGGCACAGCGATGGTCCCACTGAAACAGGTCAGGTAGTGCTGGGGAGAGAGGAGGGGCATGTCCAGCCCATGGTACTTCATTTAGCGAGCGGTAATTAATTGGCTTAGGAAAATGACTATATACTGTGTAGGACCAGTCTGCTGTCTACTGGGACTGTATCTGCACCTGGCATGTCAATAGGAGTTTTTGTTCTAGTTATCTGAGCTTTGTTAAGACAGCAGGACACAGTGAAAGGTGAACGAGGGGGTCAGGAAGAGGTCACACCTGCAGTCCCAGGAAGAGACAGAGGTACCAAGGAGGTGTGTCCTCAATGGTGTAAATCATGTCCATCCGCTGGGCCTCCATGCTGTCCCTGCTGTCCAGCGTCTCCGAGAGTGAGCTCTAGAAGAGAGAACAAAGACACTGTCAATACTGCCCACAGACTGTCCACACTGTCCCTGCTGTCCAGTGTCTCCGAGAGCGAGCTGTACAAGAGAGAGCAGAGACACTGTCGATACTGCCCACACACTGTCCCTGCGTCTCAGACACCGAGGGATGCAGAGCTTGGACAGAGAGAAGAAACACACAGAGACCTTGCAAGATCATCACGAGCTAAAACAACACTTTGTCAACACAAGGCCGTTGGAGTGCTCATTCTTGAGCTGTGTCAAGGTCGCAGTGCAGAGACTGTCAGTGTGTAAAGAAATTGTGGGGCCTACAAAACACCCTTGTCACCCTGCACCCACTAAAGTTTAAATTTATAACATCTGTATCTGTTCGGTGTGCTTACATTACAATTAGCATGTCTACCCAAGCAATTACATAGTCCTGTCGATAAAGTAACTTCTGTATCTGAATTTGACAGAGAAACCAGAGAGGAAGAAAGGATCTAAGAGAGAAGGAGGGAGAAAGAGCCTTTTTTTAACTTAACATTAACAGTTCCTCTGTTACTTACTGTTATTTAGAAATTAGCATTCAGTATTTAGTATTAGACAGCTTGTGCCACAAGTAAGGTGCTTTCAGCACAGTAGTCAGATACTGTTAGGGTCGTTTTTACTTTCAGACTAGTTTCAGTTAGACTGTTATCGGTGCTTTGCCTACACATCAGCATAGCAATTATCCCATAACTGGCAGGAATAACTTGAATATTAGCTACAAACTGCACCACGTGTGTGACCTGCGTATGAAGCTTTGTACGGCAGGATTTCATCAGCCATCTTTAAAAAGAACAAGAACAGGCAATTTAGGAATTCAGCACACGGACAAAACACGTCAACAACAAAACGTCCTGAGCAACATCTGGCACAAATTCAATCTTTCCAAACTCCAGTGAAAGCACTGGAGTTTGTGCACTGCCAGATGGGGGAACTAGCCAGCACTACCTCCATGGAGAGCGAATCATAAATGGCTCTACACTACACAAGCTCCACAAGACCAAAGAATGAACTTGCTGGTCTTGAACAGAGAAGACTAGGAGGAGCCCCGATCCAAACATTCAAAATCCTCAAAGGCACTAACAAGGTCAATCAAGTAGACTTCTTTTGAATCTACACTGAAACACCAACCAGAGGACTATATATAAACCGAGAACAGGAGGCATTTCTTCATGCAAAGGGAATTAAGAGTGTGGAACAAGGTACCTAGTTTGTTGTTGAAACCATTACCCTAGATTATTTCACGAAACAGAATTTGCTCATTAGCTATTAAAAACACAATTGATAAGATGATCTGATTGGTGACCCTTTGTTTTTAACTTTTATCTTCTTAAGTGCATACTCTTTGAAGGAGTGGATTACATCATTTTGGCACTACACAAGTTCAAACACCACAAGGCCGTTCATACATTTATACACATAGCACTCTGCTTGTAATCTGTATTTCTGATTAAAACACAGACGATGGCCTGAATTCCCTGACTCTCAAGTCACACGTGCCATCAGTTCATCAACACAACGCCCAAACCATTCAATCAATATTCAGAATCCATATAATTTATATTTCTAAAAACATACATGCATAAACAGAATGGCAAGGAATTATTTACGGATTTATTTTTGCAGATATAGCTTTAAATCTGTAAATTTGTGTGCCGTCAGGATGACTGCACAAACTTTTACAGAATAACTCCCATATAATTAACTGGCTCTGGCGTGAATCCAGCTTATTCAACTGAACTATCGGGACCTAAAGGTGGTCATTGTTAACCTGCGCACCTGCGGCAATTAACTGACAGAGAAACAAGCCTAAAACGTCATTCCCTCTTCCTGTGCCAAAGACCGGGCCTTGTCACATGCGCGTAATAACCGCTGGAGAGTCACGAGTAAGCGTGAGTCAGCGGTTTTCCCCAGTTCAGGCCCTCGTGCTCGCTGTTGTTGACAGCATCTGTGCTGAGTCACCCCACCCATGTGAAAGAGCGCCAGAACAGAGGCTGGCCTGAAGGGGAACGGAGACAGAAAAGTGAATGAAAGAAACAGAAGAGGAAGAGGGAAGTGGGAAAACTGTGGCGAGAGGGAGGGAACTAGGACGTGTATTCTCTCTCTCTCTCTCCTGTCATTCCTCCTCAGTTCTGTGGGCCAACATCTCGAATTACACACCTGTCAAGAATCACACACACACACACACACGACCAGGACAAGGGTTGGAGACCCCGAACGTGGGCTGTAGATCCAGGGGTGTACTCCACAGCCTCGGTTGACATCTGTACCCAATTTCAAGGCTCCACACAGCACTATGTTTCCCTCATACTGGTAGTCAGCTAACAGCCTGAGCACAGTTCCCAGAGCTGCCCCTCTCCCTCCTATCCAACACTAATCCAGCGGCAAGGCTTCAGATTGACCAGTTAAACAAATGAGCTCAGTCAGGTAACTAAGAGCCCGGGTGGAAATAAAGCCAGAAACCTTCTTGCTCCCCTTCCTTAAACACTCCAGTTTATCAACACAATACAGTACGCAACTACATGGGAAATGCTGATTGAGGGTGCTGAAAATAATCAGTCCTCATTCTGTAAGTAACATTTGTATCTGTTTTACTGAACTGCCACATCATTGCCGGCATTTTGCCAATAGAGGACAGAGGGAAAGAGCTCCAACTTTGCCTCGCTCTGTATTTCCTCCTTAGGGACCTCAGCAGGCACAAGGTGTGCCATACTGCTATACTGGGGGGGGGGCTACATGTAGACAGGCAGGGGGACTGTTAATACAGATGCAGGCTACCAGTGCTTAGGAGTTTTACTTCCTCTGCCAACACTTAAGGAACCTGGGCATGCCCATGACGCCAACCCGAATGAGACAGGAAGACAGAGAGATGGACGCAAGACGGGCGCACCCAGCTGGGCGGCGGGCGTGAGTTACCTTCTCGGCTGTGCCGCCCTCCCTGGTGTAGATGGCCATGAGCTCGGTGTCCTCGGTGTCCTGGTCCCCCGCAGACTGGGCCGCGCCATTCACCACCACCTGCGGCGAGACACAGCGCCCGTCAGCCACCCAGACAGCCGGCCGGGCGGGCAGGGCGCTTCCCAGGGCACCCCTGGGAGACCCCCGGCTGCGACGCTCGCCCAGGGCTCCGCAGATCACCAGCTGACGGTCACGGGGATTCCCCCCCAGCGGCGGCATGAATTCCCCTGCACCACTGCGGTGGAGCGGGGCGCCGGGGCGTGTCAACACACCGTCTCTGTTCCGCTCTCACTTTCGCACGAGCACGCGTCACAAGCGCTCGGCTCAGCGCTCACTGCACGGCGCAGGTCTGAGGCGGAGATGAAGGAGGACTCCCCCGGTGCAGCCTAACAACCTCGCACTTTCTTCCCAACGACACCTGGATCACTGCAAAGGAAAGTCTCGCGCCCTCTCTCGTGCGTGTGCGTGTGTGTGAAGGCACAAGCGTGTGAGCGTGCACAAGTGCACAAGAGAAGTGGGCACAGGTCAGAGGTCAGACTGACACAGCGCATCGGGTACTGCCCAGCCTACCTACAGTAGGGGTCTAGAATGTATCCCCATGGGTCTGAGCATCCATTCACTCGGCCACTATCGTCTTGGGCCAGGAGGCTGGACAATCGACTGGCTGCAATCTGCTCATGTGCACCAGGGGGTGGACAAGTGGTGGGGGGGCTGCTGTCTGCACCACAGGAAGCACACGGTCGACTCTCCAGCTCAGTTGACAACAATCGAGGCTTATTTTCTGCCTCGCAGCTGGTGTAACAGGAAGGGGAACCCAGAAAAAGCACAGAGTGGAAAGGGGAAGGGAAAGAGATGAGCGCGCGCGTGGCAGGAAGGGGTGGGAGGTCCTCTTTTCATGTTTCGTGGAACAGGGAAACGGCGGGGCTGGAGAATTCTCTGAAGCAGCGCGGGCGCGGCCCGTGATCTGTGGTCAGTCCGCCTGCTGCCCAACGCCTGCTCCCTGGCGAACCCCCTGTGCCCAAGCGGGACGCCGACACTCCTTCGCCTCAACAGCCCGGTCAGCCGTGCAGCGAGGTGGGGGGTGGGGGCGGGGGTGGGGTGGCCCTTCACCCCAGACATGCGGTGGCCCTCTGTGGCCCTAGTCAGGATGAGTGCCGAGCGAGAGAGAGACAGGACAACAGTGCCTAATCCACCCAGTTCCTCCTCTTACTCTCTCCTTTCCTTCCAGTCTCCCTCTCTGCTGTGCCACCTCTCCCTCATCTTCAGCCTCCCTCTCCCCTCTCCAGGCTCCTGTCCACACCCAGCTTGTCATCGTCTGCGCTATCAAGGAGCATCCTGCTAGAAAGGGAGAGCCGCAATCTGGATGACCAGTCCACGGCCAGCAGTCAACCCTGAAACGGATTCAGCTGCTCTGGAACGGGAGTCTGAGTGTGTGCCAGGAATGATGGGGCCTAGCCGTGTTTTCACTACTTTGCGACACCATGCCGCGGCAAGTGTTGCACTGCACCGCCGCCAATAGTTAGGAGGGATGTGGGCCGTTTTCCAACTCCGTTCCGTCCGCCGGCTGGTGAGTCAGACTGCGGGACGTGGCAAAGAGGAGTGTGAAAAAAAAAACTCTAGACAGGTCCCCGCCTCTCCCCTCTCCCCCCTCCCCCTCCCCCGACCAGCGTGCCACACTCTCCATCTCGCTCACTGGCTCGCAAGTAATGACGCAGATGGTAACAATAGTGATAATTACAAAGCGGGGCAGCCACACTGACAACCACAATCACTGAGCCTTCATCCCCTCCGAGCAGGTGTGTGTGAGTCACACACTGAGAGCTGAAGGAGGCACGGATACGAGAGAGGAGACAGGGACAGAGGGAGAGAGGAGGCCAGAGAGCAGAGAGGAGGATAACATAACATCACCTTATTAGCCCTATACAACTTCTTGCATTAGGAATTCGTCTTTTCTCATACCCCAGCTTGCTCTCCATGAGACACACAGACAGGGAGAGAAGCCTG